CGATGTCGGGATAGCTTTCCGCTGCCACCAGTGTAGCGTCCGAGGCTCCAAATGGGGTAGTAGAAGGCAAGCTCCAAAGTGACCGCCAAACGTCAGATAGTCACATAAACAAAGCATTACAACATTAAATGCAACTTTTTACATATAAGCCTAATAATGGAAAAATTAACTAATGTGATATTCTGTTTTCGATGTACGTTTTACTGCGGCACACTCAATTTTTGTAAGATTGGCTTCTAACTGCAATAATAGTTAACTTTTAAGATGAATAAAAGTCTATCTAACATTTTAGATGCCGAACACTTAGTAATGAGGGGCGAAAAATTTTTGATAGTACTGAAGTTCACGTGTTGCAAAAAACATTAGTAATTTTCTATATTTTAAAACACTTAAATATTGTACAGTCTGTGATTTTGACTACAAATCTTTTTGAATTTTATTTTTTTTAAGATTGAATTTTTTTGTTTACATGCTTTAAATATTTTCCGCGTTCTGTGATATTGTCATTTAGCCTTATGGTTTGGTCTTCAGGAGTTGATTATGATTTTTTCGCCATTCGTGTTACCGAGTCTTTTTTGCGGGATATAATGCATGAGGTATTCTTGATTTGAGGCTTTTTTTTGCAGAATGCGAAGCTGTTCCTGGAAGCTGGGGATGGCAACTATGTACGCGTCGTTTAACTGACATAGAGTTGTGCTTTCTCTTCTATGACGTTGATTAGATATTGGTTCTGATGCTGTGCTTGAGGTTTTAATCCATATTCGTCCACCTTTTTGTGGCTGTATGGCTGTCTTTTTGCTCGGTTCGCGCTTTGTATTTTTTAAATATTTTCTGACATTTTAGACATTCACAGTGGAGCATGGTCATGTTGTGAAGCTTTTTGAGGTAGAACCCGAACTGTCCACAATCGATTTCCCTCTTGTTGGTGCTTTTGGTGATGATGGGTAATTCACCAAATTTTTACGCCTTCCCTTTTCTTCCCAAAACCTAAAATATTTTTTACTTTGTTACAAAGTCTGGGTCGTGCTTCGGAAACTTGTTTTTCGAGTAGTGCAAAGCATTGTAGTGGTGTGCATGCATTCATGCTTATCTGTTCTTGAACTCCATAACCTTTATACTTACGACTTGCTTCCTGGTTTCACGTATTTCTGTGATTAGCAACTTGTTGCTAATAATGGTCACTTCCCTTGGATTTCTGCATTTTTTAAATTTCCTTTTAGTAAGTGGTGCCATTTGGGTGCTGTAAGTTTGCGGTTGCGTGTTGCGGCAAATTCGGACTCTTTTGACCAACTGCGTGCTAATGTTATTAAAGCAAAGGAAAATTCTAGGAAAACTAAGTGAGTTCTCTTTCTGCTACTTTGTCTGCAAGCATTTTGTCTTTCTTATAGTTTGCATTTAATTAACTTGTCTACTGTGCGTTTTTGAGTAACGTTTTCAAAGCATAATATTCACAATTCAGATAAATCCTACCCTAGCGTGAAATCGTCAACTATTTTGTATCTTTAATCTGGTCTGCTCTCTGCAAATTAGCCGATTTCTGGACGAACCGTTTTTCTTCAGAGACTTGAATGGGTGCTGTTACGGAGTTGGTAGTTATAACAGTTCATCTTTTAAATCAAATACCTCAACACATGGAACTTACTTTTTCAACCTGTGGCATTTTGATTTTGTTTGTTCTAAAGAGGATTTCACTGGATTGAGATACAAGAACACCTATCGTGTTCTTTAAATGGGCGTATTTATGTGATTCTTTCGGCTCTAACACGACATTTTTTTATTAAAACGCATTCAGATAATGTGGGTTTGAATCCATAGCAGTCAGCTCGATTGATATTGGTGCTTTTCCAGCCTACTGTATGTACTTCCCTTCATTCTGTATACTACTTTGGCTGAAAGTTTAGTAACAAATAGTTTTCGCGTACTTACAAGCCAGTAAGCTGCTCTGATCCCGCGAATTATTTTGTGTAAATTAAATAAAGGGCATTGTAGAAACTACCATCGTTTAATTTTCTCACGGTTGTCCGACAGCGCTTTCTCAGTGGGGTTTGCGTGAGCATTTTTTTCACCAATTTACGCGCTTTATAGGTCCATTAGAAAACACGGGTTCTGATAATTGAGCGTCAAAGTAGTTTTTTCAAAGCGAGTCATCTCTGCCATTGTCCCTCATGCAGCGGCAATTACCTAAGATTTTGATGATTTGTTCCGACCAGGTATGCCCTTCTAGACGGTCTGCTGAGTAATACTTGATTCAATGTCATTCCAGCTACCATGGCTATTCCTTTTCATTAATTAGCCAGCGAGTTGTTGCAGTAACTTTAAACTCACAAGAATGGTCTGCTTGGCAAACTTCTCATTTATTTTCTAAATTGTTTGTGCTTCCGAGATTTGAGACAATGTGGTCCATCAGGTTTTTAGGTTGTTCCACTGTCGCTCCTCCATCATTTGCACTGTGTGCGTCGTCGAAACAGGAGAGCTTTATGTTTTGGGCATAATAAAATTCTTAGGGCTGATAGTAGTATAGTCGTTAATTTCGTTTGAGATGGAACAATACTCATCCCTGTGACACGTTATTATTAATAACGAATGTCTTCATCTCACACTTCAAAACTGTGTAATTCCTGTTACTGGATTTCATGCGTAGACGTATTGATCTATGTGGGTGGCAGTGCATAATTATCTCACGCTTTTGGATACATTTTACAGGAGTTAAAATATTTTTGCAGTTTTCCTGCGTGGAGGACGAAATTGTCAAAAGAAAAACAGGATCACAGTACCTTATCGCCTTTGAAGAGACAGGTGAGGGGTAGAATTCTTGAGCAAAATGGTTCTTTTCCTTTGTTCACTCATGTATTTGTGTCGTTTTAGGTGATCATCCAGGCACAGCGCACAGATACGAGCATGTCAAAGGCAGGGTTAGTTCTCAAACTTACAGCGTTAGTCCTTTTTGGAATGCGTAAAGTAATGGGTTACAGGACCATTTACGCATGCCTACTCATCTTCATGAAGAACTTTTCTTATCGCCTAGTCAAATTTGTGTTGGGTAGTGATGAATTCTCTCATCTGCTTGGTTCGCTGTACTACATCATCTTTGCTGCAAATAAGAGCAAGGGAAGGTAACAATAGAGTGATGGTGACGACTTTTGGTTTGCTTGAGTTGCATTTTTGCAATTATTTTTTTTTCTTTTCATTCAAGACATTTAGTAACTTCTTATCGGTAGTTTTATGAATGCACCTATTACGTATGAGCAGTCTTATGCACTCGTGTGCAGTCTTTTTGTCGAATGCTTGCACATAAGTCCCTTTCTGCTCCATTAGAATAATGGGAGTGATTCCTTTCCAAAGTTTTCCTAATGGCTATTTTATAATCTTTTTTTCAAGAAATTATTGTTATTATCAAAGCCATGAAAAATTTCTTCGTTTTGCCACTTGCTACTGCATCATATACTTTTCGCAAAAAGTGTGAAATACAATTCATACTGTGCTTTGTCCCGAAAATTTGCCATTGCGAAAACAGAGGTTGTCAACCTTCCGATTCATCTGGAAATCGGCTTCAGGTCCGCAAGTATCTTGATCCAGTAATTTGTTGCTAGCGTTTGAAACGTATCACGAAATTGACTCTTCTTTAGTTCGAGATATCCATCCCCATTTGCTGCCTTTTCAATAAGTAATCATAAGCAAAGCGTCATATACTTTCCTAAACGGTATTTAATCTAAAGTATTTACCATACCTTTCGGAGCTATGCCAAATGGTAAACAGGAAAAGTTTTGCCATTATTACGTGTAAACAATTACGTTACCATCAAGTTCGAAATGTGGTTAAGCGCATGTTAAGAATCTTACATATTTGTGAAAAGGAAAAGTATATTAATTAAGGTGTGTGGATCTTAATCTTAGTCGCAAGTTTTGTTCTGTGCGACTGATTTTCATTGTGATTCCCAATCGCAACCTCCAACACGTCATAAGTCCTTAAAGTCCACTCTGCTAGGTCCATTTTTCGTAGTCTTCCGAGACTCAGTCCTGGCCTTCTCCATTCCCATCCTGGTCTTTTTTTTTCAACTGAGTATATAGCATACAATTGCTCAGGGCCAAGAAAGGGCAATCAGCACTTGGAGAAGAACTGGCAGGAGTGTGTGCAGACGGGAGAGAGGCGCGAATTCCATCGTGAGTGAATTTGTTGGTGGGGAGTGTGAGGGGTTGTATTTTCTCATAAAGTTGGGGGTGAGGTACTCCATCAACTGATTCGCCAATCTCGTGTGATGGAAGGTGTTCCTCTTGTTTGCCTTTGAGTTGCGTGTGGTGTTAGCATGAAGGTGGACCTCAACCGTGATTGCCTGGCCTTTAGCGAGGGTCTCATTCTTGGTAGACGATTTCGTCTGCAAATTCACCACCCACGTCCACTTGCACACACGCAAAGCATTGCATTCAGTGATGATGTGGTGCCGTAGTAGTGGGGCTAGGGTAGTGGAGCGTGTGGGATGACCAATGACGCACTTGTTCGCTCAGCGGTGAACCACCAAGACTGTGTCTCCTTTCCCAGTTGATGTTGATGTGGGCGCCACTCATCTTGAGCATTGCCGAACGAAATGCCACGCTGTGTTGTGGTGAAGACCAGTGGGTCCTCCTGAACACGGTGCATTTCACTTTGGGTGGTGGGACACGAGAGCGAAGGCGGTTACCGAGGGCACTTTGGAATTGTGTGTTGTGTTGGCAGACCCTCGTCAAGTGCTGCATGAGTTTGTTGAAGCGTTTGTGGGGTCTCTGAATCATGTTAAAGCTGGTAGGTGTGTGGAGGAGGTGAGGTTGAGCAGCATTGACCAGGTGTGGGTGGTATTTGGTGTGAGGTCAGAGGAGTGGGCGAATGGTACAGAGCGTAGTAAAGGTTTTTGCCAGACCGATGGGTACCTTATGCGCAGGTTTCGGAAATTCTGCTAATCGGTTGAGTTATTTATCTGGAATCCTAATGAATTCTTTATTTATTTAATGTTGTAAATGGATCGTAAATTGTAGTGTGATCTTATTAGTTATTTGAATTGTGTATTTAAGCTCAAACCTGAGTATCTTGGAAGCGGGACCACTTTGCTGCATATCAGGTAACTGGTGGTTCTTTGGGTTGTGCTGTGCGTATTGATGTACGTGGGGTCACGGTTGATAAACTCAACTGACAGTCACATTGGGATTGCTTAGGGTTAAAATTTGACACTCACGACTGCAGATGAGACTGTCGAAAATGCGTAGATATATTTAGCACTAACTGTTCTCTCCGGCTTTTGAAATTTAAACTCTGTGTAAACTTCAGCTGAGCAAAGAAAGGAAACGTTTCCGTTTTTTCTACAGGTTGCAAAACATTTTATTGGACCACTGTTTTGACGGGATATCTTGGCTGTTGTCCGTAGTATGGCGGAGTCATAATTTATGAGTTGGAGATTAGGCAATGGATGCATCCACCATAATATTAAAAATGTTGGCGTTTGACCTTTTTGCTCTTCTGCACATTGTAATTTAAACTTGTGTCCATTTTCTTTTTCAATTTTGGAGTCTTAATAGGGATGAGTTTCAGAATTTTGTAGCACTAGCGTGAGTAGAGATCGGGTTGTTTCTCAGATTGCTGACAGTTATCTGGGACTGCTTCCAGTTTTGAATCCTAAGCTACACACTTCTGGCATATTTGCTGTCTCAAAACTTTTCTGCTTCCATTTTATTAGTTATCAAAATCTGGACGCTATCGTGCGGAAAGTCACCTGTAAATCAAGGCAATTTGACCAGCCTTGCTCACGGCTTATTTACGCCTCCACTTTAAAATATAGCGAATTTCTTCGTTGTTGGTTTGAATCCACTCTTGGTGACAGTTAAAGGCTTGATGTGTTCGTTTTTGACACGCGAGGTGATGAGCGTAAGCATCTTTTTCAGTAGAAGATTAAATTTGTTTGTTGACTAATTGAATTTAGAAGCACTGCTCCACAGAAAAGAACATTTAGACTTATAGTTTTGCAACTCATAATCTATTAAACGATTTGATCTTGTATTGCTTCTGCATCGTTGGATCGCTGTTTCATAAATTTATAAACAAGCCTTTTATAAGTTTTCACATCTTTCCCAAAATTACTACACTAGGTTTAGGTGTTCCATTTTAAATCATACAGAAGTGTCTTTGGTGTTAATCCTTAGGTCACTCGAAATTGGCTCTGATCATAAATTTCCGAGGTGTTTTTCCTGTACACTTAATGCAAAACATTGCACAGAACTACGGATACTCGAGGTTGTATTTTAATTTTATATTTACTAACGGAAGCTGGAGGACGCCCTTATCGGCCGACGGCGCAGACAAACAATGTTCCGTGGACGGCGTGCCAATCCTCACTCAAATCCTGATCGTATTTGAAATTAAAATTGTTTTGTATGCGATACTGTTAACTCAGTCGCCCGCCGGTAGTTTGACCATATTGTAGTGATATTTTTATTACCGCTAATTCAGACCTCAAAGTGCCAAAATGTTATTTCATCTGGGCGATAGTTGTCAAAACACATTTTTTTGCCATCTCAGTCGCTACTTTCCAAATTAACTTTGAACTAATGATCTACGGGAACTACTAGCTGTATGACCGATAGTCCGATTTAACTGTCTCCCTCACTTTGCTCTTTTGCTCTTCCGCGTTCCCTAACCTCGGCCTGCGAATACGCACTCAGTGTTCACGTAACGGAATATGTACATATCAATGAGTAGTTATTAAAAAACTTTCCCGCACCCCTCAGATTTTCCGCAGAGGTGGGCATTGCAGAGAAGGCACAAAAGCAGTATCATCGGGTCCTCGAAGTTGTTGAATTAGCTCGAAAGAAACGAGTTGATTTGGAAGAGCGACTGGCAAACCTCCACCGGGATAAATCCCTCTCGGAAACCCAAATGCGAGTCGCTGTCAGTGTAAGTTGTAGTGGATATACCACTTTTTTCTAGTTTGCCTTAAAATTCTATAAATTCTCCTGTACTTTAATTTTGGTAAAATCTAGGCGATTGAAGAAGAAACATGTTCCCTTTTAAGAGAACTGTTGGGTAATGAAGATCTGTCATCAACTATTCCACCATGCTCTGGAAGCGATAACTCTTCAGGTTCCTACGTTTCATTTTCTCAGCTTCTTCGACAACTAGTCGAACAATCAGCGCTGTCGATGCAATGACTACCTCATTCTGTTGCGTTTTTATCACTTATTGTATGTAACTGCCTATCAACAGTGAATTTTAGAAGACGCTCTTATCTTCTCTTAGTGCGCCTGTATGACAATCGAGTTGTTTGATAGTTTTTAGCTAAAACGATAACTTTGTTTTTGCTCTTTCGTGTTAAAGAAAGTGCGACGTTACCGATAATTTGTGAATTAACTGAGTTATTTTTTTGTGCAAAAAACAGCACATGTCGGATTCTTCTTGTCATTGTCTTCTGTGCTATGATTGTTAATTCGTTTGTTGCTGCTTAGATCAATGGACTTTTAGGTTTACGGTGCACTTCTGAAGTAAGAGGATTGGAGCATTTTCTCAAAGTTTCTTATTGTTAAAATCTGTTCACATAGTGGAGCAGGAATAAATCTTTCCTTGTCATGAGGTGTGAATTTTCCCTTGGTCATTAGAATGAATGTTCACCGCCAGACAAGGCGTGTCTTTCTGCCAAGTATAAAAATTAACTTCCTCAAAAGCAGGACTTGACGAAATTAGTTCGTTAAATTCTGCTGCTAAATTTATTACTTAATGAAGTTGCATATTTCGGCATTTGCCATATTACTACATGCAAATTTTTTCTCAAGTTTTACTTGAAATGAAGTGGCTTCACAGGTTGTCGATTGTGGTAAGGTTTCCTCAAGTGAAAATTCCCTTTCCCATTGCAATGTTTTTCCCATTCTCTCTGGATTTGCCTCTGATTGGGTTCAGGAGTCGACTTTCCTAGTGTTGAGGAGTCGCTGCAAAGCATCACATATTTTAGTTTTTCCGTCAGGGCATGGGTGACTTGTCAATCAAAAGCAGGGTATAAGGGCAGTACAATAGCTTGAAAAGGCACGAAGACAGTGAATGATTACCAAGGCACAAATTTGTTTAATACTTGCCAAGTTTAAATTCGCCTCCAAATCATTAATTTGCCTAGTTTCTCTGAGGTCTTTGTGGGGATCGTTCTGGGCCTCTTGGTGCGGAGCTGCGATAGACACGATGCACACGTTATTTATCTTCCCACAGCACCTATCTCATGCTTTATCAGTACGGCTTTGTTTAAATGTCCATGTAAGGCTCGAGCCGCTTACTACAAGAGTTCCCTTATTTGCAGCTTCTTGAGAAAAGTGCTCATTCTAAAATCCTTTTCAAGTCCGTAGGGTTCATATTGTTTTTCAACAAACCTTTCATTCCAACCCAATGCTTTGAAAACTCAACGCTTCTTGGAAGTTGTTTCTCAGTTTGTCTTCTCCATTGGTCTTTGTGGTAACGTTTGGAATATTGGTTATTGTAGGCCAGATTCGGGCAACATCCAGCCTGTCAGAATCGGATCGCCTCCTGTTAAAGTTCATCCTTTATTGAATGCCTTAGGTTTTATTTTTGGGGTTGGACGTATTGGAGGGTGACGGTGGTTGCCTGTTTGGGGATAAGACTTTTAGCTCGGTATTTGGCCACTTTTTGTCGAGCCACAGTTGCATTCATTCTGCTGTACACTGTTGTGATGGTTCTTGATCTTTTACCATTTATCGTAAGGTGTATTTTCTTTCAGAGCAAAACACATCTGACCTGGATCAGATTGTTCTACTGGATTCTGTTTTGTTCTATCCTGTTCACTAGGAATGTGCATTTCCTCTTTACATTTGTACGAGATCTATGGGATGTTTCGAACGATGATTATTCATAGGTTTCAATTTCTTGTCCTTTTTGATTGCGACTGCGAAGTTTCCAACTTTCAATTTCTACCCTTGAGTATTGATGACTACTATCCTCTGTCTGATACTCCGAATTAACTGAGATAGCGCTGATTCGGGTTTGCTAGTTTTACATTGCGACAAATTTCCTTGATGGGGTTTTGCCAGGATGCTTTGGGGCTAGAGCTGACCTCGAGATCCGATTTGTGCAAAATTGTTCTATGGGACGCTGTGTATGACTATTCTTAATACATTTTTTAAGTTGTAAAATAGCTTTCAGTTGCTTGAGATAACTTTTGGTGATAGTTTTTACGTTGCAATTCCTCATTCGCTGTCGACAATTTTCGTTGCCATTTAGGAGGCCATTTAATTGTCATCGTGTAAATAGGGTTATTTATTAATCGGGACGAAGTCCTTTGCCAACTCCAAATGCGTAAATGTTGCAACAATCGACTTGGTAGTCTCGCTTCATCCTTGTCCCATCAAATGCAATCCTGATCCGATTCAATGTTTATGCGTACCGCATGTGTAGTTGTAAAGGTTATTGCGGGAAGTAAATATCCACCTTCCATTTCTGAAGTAGGTCAGCAGTCATTGAGGTAAGTTGTTCGTAGCTCATATTGTCTAGCCGTCTTTGTTTTTATGATCAAACCTTGCTAATACCTCGACCACACTTTAATGGCAAACTCGGACGTTTTTACCATTTTCTCTGAATGCTAATATTGTCCTACAGCTCTTCATTGTAGAGAAAGCATGGGGTGGAAAATGGAGTCTTTTCGATTGGGTCTCTACCTCTCGGTTCCTTTGATAGCATTCACCATGTCGAATTGGCCTAGCATCGTTGATTACTACTACAACGCCTACAGATTGGATGTATATGAAAAAACTGGTGTAAGTTACTCAACGACATGATTTCAACTGTTGGGCTTACTGTTATCACGCTTTATTTGCCGAAATTCAATTCTTATTTTCGGCTATCATATTGCCAAGTAGGCGACATTTTTTGGAAAAAAATTAAATTCAAATAAATGATGTTCACATAGTTGTGCTATTTTTTAATGGCAGATGAGTGCACTGTTTTAATTTATTTCACTCGGTACATCTGAATTTTGTGTAGGGACACAAGTTCACAAAGTGCCAAATTTAGTAATATCGGTAGAATGCTTATTCTGCAGAATTGTCTTAAAAAAATCAAGAACTGATAAAATTAATGCTATTCCGTTTCTTATTCGTTTGTTTTGTCCGGAAACATTAGAGATCTACCCCAACTAATGCTTGTGCTTAATCAAAGCTGGACTTCATTTTCTTTTTGTTGAAGCGAAGCTTCGTTGTCTACTCATTTTGGCCACCTTTAATTGTACTATTCAGCTGAGCTTTCCGGGAATCGCTTTAAACCAGTATAACTTTTACTTAAGCATCCACCACCCACTGCGAATGAAACTCACGAAGTTTGAATACGTGAGTGAATTTCTCTTCTTTTTGGGGCAGTCTAAACTTTCCCTTTCATCAACCCTAGGTGTGTGAACCCTTCTTGCAGCTTTAGCTATGATGCACGCTTCTGTTTGTCATCTGAAATGATACCCAGGTTGAGTTTGACTATGTGTACAACATTAATTTTTCTTTATTTAAAGTCACTACATCATTATTTTGGATTCGAATTAGACGGTTTTGTGCAAACCATCTAGTTTGGATTGCTGACTCATGGTGCGAGCTTTCGTCTCCCTCTACGTTACAAACGTGAAAATAGGTACCCTCGTCGGTTCTCCTAATGGTCACAGAGCGTTTCCGTTTCATACAACCCACCTTTTTTTCTTATCCTATTCATGAATTTAGTCTGTAAACATTTCAATTTTTGTCAACTGGCTGCTAAAGAAGATCAAAAAACAGTATTTGGCCGAGTGCGGTGAACCTTCTTCATTCACCACTCGATGATTTATGTAATTTGCCCAATTTAAAGCGTAGTTTGCTTGACTCTCCTTTGCCGTCGTTCTCAAGTTTGCAAGTACTAGATTTTTATGATCCCACTCACCACGTGTTTTTTACGAGGTCCTCGCAACAACTTGTGTGTGTGTGGGGCTGGGTCTGTCGCGTGCACACGAGGGTGTTTTCACCGAAGCAGTGTGATAACACTGATACGCGGCTTATGCCGCCTTTGTAAGTACCTAGGAGGAGGGCACTCTTGCTTACTGCTCGAGTGCGCACGTGCGAGCAAGCGGATGCGCGTGTGAAGACAGTTTTATTGCCCGTTCGGATTCTCTCTACTTCACCGAGTCCTCTTTTATCACCTCGATACCACCACCCTTCTTTCCCTTGGTCTACGTTGCCCACCTCTAAAGTTTTTCACCTGCCTTTGATCTCTGCAAACTTATTGGCCACCAATCTGTTAAAGTTAACTGAAAAGGAGCACTGTGATTAGGTATGTTTAGATGAATGGCGCGCGTCATGTTTGCATCCGTCATCGCCACTGTGTACCAATCTACTAAACATTTGCAGATGTCTTAACAAGAGATTTTAATTGCACATTTTTCTGCATTGGCATACATTTTTTGTGCTATTCTCTGGTTAATGTGGCTTGGACTGACAAAACATGACTACGACCTCTGAAAGGTGTTTTAAATTTTAACATGATCAAGCTCTCGGCCATACTGCACTTCATGGTTCAAATTCACATGGCTAACTGAAAAATTTGGGCGCATTTCAACTGCCAAATTATAGGGAAACCATTCAGAACTTATTATCTTAAAACTGCAGAAGTCCTTTTCCTCTGTGGTAACACATTTAATGCGATTCGGGTCTCGACGCCGTTCTTAACTATTCCTGTGTACTGTCATTTGCCGTCTAGTTATGCTGATCTTTTCTACTGCAAACTAATCGGGGTTGCCTGTTACTAATCCAATGTTTAGGCGGCTGCAGTCTCTGTATTGCATCCAATTTCATGTCCTATGCGTTGCTGTCTTTTTTAGAATTGGGGCAAAAGAGGTAGAAAGAGGCACTGAGTATCTGCTTATTAGTTGTACTGAAAAATGCGGGTGATTTTTCCTTCATCGGGCTAAAAGCGTACGAATTAGTGGCGACCTTCTATGCTCCAGAAGTGTGGATTGACCTAATTTTTTTTCTCTGGAATAGTTTCCCTTCAGCACCGATATTGAGGCAATCTTGAGTAGGGCGAGTCATTTACTGATGTCATCTGCGCAAGTTAGGCAAATGTATTTGATGAATCTGGTTCAGTGTATCGTAGAAATAGTCTTAACCTAACGCAAATCTTATACCTGGCAAAGCTTCTTTATCCATGC